GATAATATATACATATATATATACATATATACTGTAGTGTGTGATGAGCATCAGTGGTTGGAGCACTGGATCCAAACCCTTGTGGTTCCCGAAGTTCAATTATCGTCGCGCATGTCGTAATAAAGTGCCTGCGCTTGCCTGCTAGCTCGAGCCCGAGAAAACGACCTATCGCCGTGAGAAGTCAAACGCAAGGTGTTCGTAGGGGAAGTCACCGCCGTGGCAAAAGTGTTAACGAGCCGAACCGCGGTTGATTAGGAAGGGTATTCAATCAGGCCAAGGGTGACTACTGCCATATAACCTCTCAATACTGAATTGAGGAGGCCATGCCCTGCAGGGAATGCAATGGCTGTTAAAAAAGAAAAAAAAAAAAAAGAAAAAAAAAGAGCAAAAGAAAAAAAAAAAAAAAAAAAGGAAAAAAAAAAAAAATTATATATATATATATATATATATATATATATATATATATGCACACACACAAATATATATATAATATGTGCGTGTGTGTGTGTGTTTGTGTGTACATAAATATACATAAATGAACACATGATATCATATATATAATATATATAATATATACACGATATATATATATATATATTACATATGTGCGTGCGTGTGCGGTCTGTGTGTGTGTGGTGGGTGTGTGTGTGTGCATGTGTGTGGTGTGCTATATATTATTATAGATATATACTATATATCTAGATATATATGTAATATATATACAACACACACACACAACATACATACATATATACACACACACACACACACCACACACACACACCACACACAACACACACACACACACACACACACACACACACACACACTACACACACACACACACAAACATACATACATACATACTACATACATATATATATATATAATAGATATATCATTTATATAATATTATATATACACATATATAATATATATAACATATATATATATATATATATATATATATACATATCCCAATATATATATATCTATATATAGATATATATACATACATATACCGTATATATATATATGTACATATATAAAATATAAAAACACGGGCGGCGCCCACACACACACACAAATATATATATAGATATATATAATATATATATCTAATATATATATAATGTAATATATATATATATATATATATATATAATACGTATACTGCACATATATATGTGTGTGTGTTTGTGTGTGTGTGTTATGTGTGTGTGTGTGTGTGTGTGTGTGTGGTGTGTGGTGTGGTGTGTGTGTGTGGCGGGTGGGTGTGCGTGTGCGTGGTGTGTGGTTGTGTGGTACCTACATAAAAGTATAAATATGTACAACATTAATAGTATATATAAACTGTACTGGGAGATCAAGGAAAAGCCATAGCAGCAACAGTCTTTTATTGGCGCAAAGTTCAACCTGAAATGTGACATTCAGGTATAAGGAGAACTAAATAAATATTCTTCTTTGTGACAAAAAGAAAATATACATACACGACGAAATATAAAGTAACAATTCAATCCAAATAAACAAAATGAACTGATTATATCACATATATTATTACTAATACAAGGAATGCAATACACATTTTCGTGCGACAACTAATAATCTACGTAACAATATCACAAAATAATCATACATTGTAATATTCATCGAACTCACTTCAATGGGCCACACTATCACAATCCATGATTCCCAGTAGTTGTCATACATCTCAGTTACGGACAAACCCATATCCACAGCCCATTTAGACATAAACACGGCTCACAAATCCCATGAAAAGTGAACACTTAAATTATGGCGACGCCGACAACAACAAACTCATGTTCCGCTGATTTATCAATATTAATGATGATCATCTTTCTGATATTACTTTGAAACTCTTCAATATCCTTATTAAACATACCGTTCATGAGTACAAAGATTTGGCACAATAACTTGCTCACTTCTGTGAATGAAAGGTCGAAAAACAAAATATTCCTGCCCCCCCCCCCGAAGTGGATTGCACACAAGGCGTCAACCTCCACAGCTGCGTATACGTGGGTCATGGGTAAACAAAAAACACTCGAGGATGGCAACGTAACATCTCACCAGTAATTTAATCAAATAAACGTAAAATATTCCTATTTTCAATACCTATCATGACTAATGATACACTCCCCCTCGACATGACTACTTTGGACTAGATACATTGACAAGGTACATGCTTAGACTTGTTCTCATTGGCAACAGCATTACTAATCTACTGTACCGATCTACACATGATCTTATCCGCCTCACCATAATACCCTTTGCCATCCTTATTATTTTATATCTTAAATCCACTTCCAACTATCCCATCTCGTCCTGGGTAGCTAATTACTTGAAGCCCGTTCCACGTCCTCTCTTACAATATTGCTATCTTGGCACTAGAACAACATCTCTACTGTCACATCCTTTTGGCTGTATGCCATTTTCTGTCTAATCAACATTGACGGGAAATAGCCCTTTGCCAATTTTCCAAAAAGAATTATAAATAGCTTGGATAAACCCAACTCAATCTCCTTTATGATCTCCATACTTCATTACAAGCCAATTAGGACAATGACAGCCGATCGACCAAGTAACAGATCATTGGGCAGAGTAGCTACATAATTCAAACTAAATCCAGGTTCTAAGCCTATGGTCTTTCATTCATTAAAATGCAATACAAATAACGGCAGTCTGTAATTCTCCAAAAGTTAGTAAGAATCTCCAATAATAACACAAATACTCCTTTTGACTGATTGATCAGTGCTCACTCCTACACCATTATACCATGGTGCATTCACTTGGCATATTGAAAATCCAGGTCACAACCTTCTTTCTCCCCAATGCTCTCTATTTCCTTACTAGGTGTATTAGCTGAGTTCCCCATCAGAATAAATAAATTTGGGGCCCCTAATCGCATGAACCTTTGAAAAGTGGTTAAGAAATCATCGGTACTATATCCCATAGCTAGATCCAGATAAACTGCTATTGTCACTAGCAAATTAAAAATAATTCCAAACAAGCTTTACCATGATTATCTTCTTAAAGAATCTCTTTAATTGTCAATGGTCTCCAAACAAATCTACTGCTGTTGATAGAATGGTTGGAGCAGGTTTCATCCTTTCCGCCCCACTGGACCCATACATTGATCTTCCACTTCTTATTATTTTTCTGATGTTACAATTTCTTTTTTATGGTCTTATTAATTTTCTAGCTCCTGGAACCCAAAATTCCTCGTAACTCACAATGTAGTCTCTATACCTGCATGGATCACACTTTAGTAGACAGGATATGTACAACCTCGTAACTAGGATGTTTTTCGGTTAAATTAACATGAAATTTTCTTGATTCAATTTGTCTTTCAAACACTAGAAATTCGGTTGTTCCTACTACTATAATTCCCTTTTCAACTGATGTACCAATCTTTGAACCTTGTTCCAATCAGTCATGCTCTTGCATTCTTGACCCATATTTTCTGCGTCTGAAGCCCTTGAAACTGGGGGGCTTATTAGAATACCTTGAAAGAATTGTATTTGAATAATTCATTACCGCTTACAGTAACTCTCAGCAAGTTTGTAATAGCACTATACCTATTAAACATCAATTTAATTGCATACCACTAATCTCATGACTTGCATTATTGACCGTCATGCTAATACCAATTCTGTCAGTTAACGCATCCTCACAAGTATGCCGATGGGCCCATCCCTAGTTGGCTAAAGTTAAAAACTTGGGTCCATTGTCGCAGTCAGACTCTCTCCCAATTTTCTTGGTTTGCATGGTCAGAGGTAAGGTCTGCAATATTCTGTGTTGTGTGAATCGACCACCACCATTCCATTTGGGTCAGTTTGATTGTTATCTCGCTATGCGATACTGACAAAGGTATGAAATCCGTTGACTCTCCTTTTGGATTTGTGATCTTACAAGGATGAGTCAACTATGTGGTAATTGCCTCAAAACGTCAAGTAAACTCCTTTAATATAGATTCTCTTAATATAGCAGCCATAAGAGCCGCACATAGTTCCAACCAGAATGGACATTTGCCTCATTGTGCCAATCTTATTTCTAGCTGCTATCAGATGTGACTCAAATTCGTCTTCACCAGTTTGCCACCTAACAATATGACAAGCTCCGAGGCTTGCATGCTTACTATCCGAAAATATATTAGGCTGTCTTACAACTGCATTAGATGGTATAAGGATCTTCTAAAGGTCAATTTCTCTAACTCATAAAATTCCTTGAAAAAAATTTCCATTCCCTAACCGATGGCAAATCTCAAGTGGATATCCCACTGATTCGCATCTTTGACTCACCTTGAAATCAAGAGTCTCATCAAAATTTTGCTTTGAGCAATACTGGTACAAGCAACCCCTTTTTTTAAAAAAATGGATATTTTGATGGTAGCAATCTGATTCAATCATCCTTCTGCGTGTTCAAATGTCTGGAAATTTATCATCAATTTCATTCTAAATTTAAATTGGGACCACTTCCGGACATTCTTATTCTTGAAGATAAAATTAAGTTTTTACTGTGAAGAAAAAATGATCCCCAACGGGTTCCATTTCAAACCCTAGATCTTTCTTGCGTCAGATTTATCCACATGACCTTGCAGCTTCATAATCGGCCCACTACAATCCAATGGTTAACTCTGAAATTCCCAGAGACAATATATTCTCCGTATCCTGTATAACTTTGAATGCCTTCTCAACGGTATCCAGTAGAATACAGGGAGTCATCAACTATAAGTATTTGTTAATAATATACTTGCAATCGGATGTTCTTGCCAAATTTCTCACAGTGTGTTCTCAACGCTAGCGTAAAGCTATGGTAACCACTAGGTATCTCCAAAACGTTTAAAGTGTTTAAGAGCAATAACTGATCAGGTGGCTATTGTCGTCCAAATACCTCCATAAAAATCCTGGTGTGTATGTTCATCCATTGTTGCGGAGCTTGACAGATGGTACATCTTAGATATGTCGCCTGCTATAGCTATATTATTCTTGTCTAAACATAAACAAAAACTCCCAGTAAGCTGTCAGGTATCTGGCCTTTGCCCAGAAATCATTTAACTTCTGCACCATGTATGACGCAGAAGAGTTGAAGACAATGCGTTTATTGGAGTGATTTGGATTCTGGTTTCAATACTTCATGATGATGAATATAATGAACTGGACCTTTGATTCTCTTATTCTTCCTTGGTTAATTTCCTCGCCACTCCCATATTAATCATATCTTCTATCTCTCTCTGATAACTTCATGCATATCATTCGCCAAGTTTTATTCAATCATTCTCCGTTGTTTTTAATCTAGCATTAGCTACTTGATATTATCTTTTCAAAATGCATGGATCCCTTAAGCCATGGATACTTTGCTAGCCAGCATTTTGTTCCTCATATATACACAATCCTTCCTCAATCAATGTATTCTCTTTCTTCCTTTAGGACTTGTGCAATTAGGTCAGGACATCCTCGACACATACACTTTATACACTGTGGTTTACATTTTGTTCCCATTTCCTCCATGGCAAAGATTTGTCCCAATTTAGTCTTTAAGGTATCTGTTGATTCTACGCTAATTTCCTTCAAATCTACGAGACTAGGACAGTTTATGAGTTCTTACAAGTGTATGATTGCTGGTGTTGGATCCATTGGTAATCTTGTCATGTCTACCTCGAATGCTGAACCCGAATTGATTTTCCAGCAACTGAATACCCTCATTTTGTTCAACAACCCTTGGCAGTATTTCACAACAATCTGTACCGATGAGCATATCAATTTCCCCACATGGGAGATCCACCTCCAAGTTCGAGATTCTTATAAAAAGTTCAGGTAATCTGGACAAATCAATCCTTTTAACTTTGGAAGATATTTCATTCATACCGACAGCATCCACATTCCAAACTTTACCATTCTTATCAGTTAATGGTACACAGTATGCTTTACTTGACTGATGTTCAGTTGTGTTGCCTACCTTGATCAAAGATAATTGACGTCCTTTCCACTCAATCCTAACTTCTTGGCCATCCTATAAGTAATTAAGGAAGTATCTGAACCTGGATCCCACAATACAGTGACGGGCAGATTTTTACTATGCACCGTACTAATGTCAACAAAGCTTTGCCTTCTTCTCCATTACTGCATTGTGAGAATTGCTTTCTATTCTGTCTTGATGCAAAAGTGGATGATGATTCCGATTACATGGTCCTTGTCCTTCAATGACTGCATCACACAATTTGCCTACTTTACACCCACGTGCTGAATGATATCCCTTTAAAACACCTAAAACATATACCATTCCTCTTAATCACATCAAATCTTTCTTTGCTATTACAGCCCTTGAAATTGAAACAATTTGTTTATATCATGACTCTCTGAATTGTGTAATAAACAACCTATACTTATATTGTCCTTGCATTTAATACCCTTTATCATTTCATTCAAATTTACAATGCATGACTCAAATTCCCTATTCTTGCTCTGTTGTTCTTCATTCAATTTTCTCATCAGCTTAACCAACTCTGACTCCGAATTGTTTTCGACCACATTTTCAACATGATGTACTGTTGCTCTGCTATCACTAGTACTAGTTCTTACATTTGAATTCATGTACTCCAAAACCTTCCTTTCTTTCTGCAAGAAACCTAACAGCTCAGAAAACAATTCACCAGTGACCGAGATATCACTTGCTTTAATTACCCATTCTCTTTTTTGGAGTGAAGGCAGAATTTTCTCAATATGGCTAACAACATTAGCTGTATTGAGTTCATCAGATAGATTTACCCTTTTTAAATCTAACCAACATTGTTCAACCTGATCAACCATTTTAATAAACCCTTTAGTATCACCATCTGATATCTTCCTCAGCGATTTGAGATCACTTATCACCAAGTCTACAATTTTCCTTGGGTTACCAAATTTGTCATCCAACCGCTTAAACATTTCATCATAATTACCCTCCGAGCCCTTTACTGCCTGGAGTGCCTCCCCACCTAAACACATTTTGAGTGCATATGGATCAGCACCATATTCACTTTGAACCAAGTTCTTATAATCCTCTTTAAATGTAGGATACTCTCTTAAATTACCTTCAAACTTGGGAGGTTCAAATCTCTTTACCTTAACCTTTGGTTTGTCAGTTGCCTTCTTCTCATTATTTACCATGAATATCTTAGCACACAGTTCATTCTTTAATCTTTCACTATCTAAAATATATTGTTCAGCCTCTTCTTCCAGGTTTTTATCTTCTAATTTATCCTCATTATCAGATATAAATTGTATCAGTTCATCATTCTTACACTCTAAACACTTAAATGCTTCTATTACTTCCTCATAGTTAGTCTTCAACACTAATAGATCATCACCTCTGTCTATTCCTTCTTTACATAAAGTTACCTTCCTGGTGAACTTTCCTTTAGCAGTTCCCCTCTGTTTCTTGAGGGCGTTGAGGTCCCCTTGCAAACCCATGGCGCTGAAGTTGAAATGTACTGGGAGATCA